GTTTACTTCTGAGTAAACATATTAATTTGTATTTTAAATAAATATATTTCTTTTGGTGTTTTTGTCAATACTTGAAAACTTTCTCAACAAAAGAAGAAGAAAAATATATTTTATATTCTTTGCTCTTAGATAGCAATGGATGCTTCCACCCCCCATACACAGTGTAAGTCCTAATAAAATCAAAGTATAATAAATGTAATTTTTCAAATGACATAGTTACTGAAAGGATGCCTGTTTAGCTTATAACCAAAATATTATTTTTTCTTTCACTTTTGGAATTAGCAGGGAACATTATATCTAAGAAGTTATGCAGTGTGATCACTAAATTAACTCACTGCATGCAATTTCCTCCTTTTCCACGGCAAAGTGGAGATTTTTGTTAAGCATAGTGTGTACATTGGATGAATATGTAAACATATACTTTATTGACTCTGTGGACAATTTTTTGTCACCTGTTTTATTTCTCTATCTGTGTTGTACAAGTAGTGCCATTAAGATGTTTCATATGCGTCAAAAGTGGGACACCTAGAAGATGATGGCAGTGTAATTACATAGTACATCACGAATGATCCAACTCTGGCACAGCTGAAGATTACTTCACAGTTTTGAATTAATCTGAATGACCTCAGCTTTATTGCTGTTGAGATTCTAGAAATGATAAAATGTCAAGTCATTGGAAATAAAACGACAGAACCTAAACAATCTGACATGACTAATCCATAGTTCCTCTGACTTGTTCCGTATTCTGTAGACTTTATTACCAGCTGTGATATTTTATTGAGAAATACTTGTCTTAATGAACGTGTCTTCCACCTTACTAAAATGTGTGTCTGCTATGTATAGAACAGAAAATCCACTGCTCTGTATATTTGTGTTTTATGTTCACTAAAATTTCACACACAAATTGCAAATACTGAATCATTGCTTTACTTCTATTATATATTAATTTTGAGAGATTCATGTTAGAGGAATGCTATTAAGTCAATCATTTTTGGACAATACTACTATTTCAATTTATCACAAGTTTTCCAGTGCTATTAGGTAATGGAATTTGTAGGTATACTATATGGTGACTTTTTTTAAAACTGCTGTTTAACTTATATTGATAGAGTACTATAAAGAATAGCTGTCCTCACATTTGTTGTTATTGGCCCTATAAAATGTTTTTTTATAAAACATAAAATTCATATCTCAGCATATTGTCTTGAAAAGGGGGCTCTTTCATCTATAGTCTGCATTAAATGGTTCCCTATGGATTACCTCTCGGAGTTCTAAATTTTTTTCCCTCTCATTGGAGGATCTCAGTCCTGGCTGAACTCTTCACCTTCACTAACCATAATCCCTTAGAGATGACTCCAGACTGTATTATTGCCCTTGATGTGTAATACTTTTATTTTTGCTTTTAACTATACAAATGGAAAGTTAACTCATAAACCAGAACTATCCAGAGCCCTCTAAGTTAGATTTCCATGTTTTCCTAAAGGTCCCATGCGACTCCTCCCCTCATCCCCGCTATCCACCCTTGCCACCAAATATGCTGGCCATACGCGAAGTTTGAAATCTACTACACTTTATAGCTCCCTCTCTCTCGATTCTCTGCCAGCTATTTCCTTAATGATTTTTAGTCATAAGTTCCCTAACCACATATCCTGATAGAGGAGGATTTATAGTATAATATGTAACATAGACCTCCACTCCTCTGTTTTGTAAGGAAAAATTCGAGACTTTTCCTAGCATTTATCGATGGACCATGAGATTGGACTAGGACCACTCATTCCTTTGATTCAAGGCTTTTGGTTCTTCGTCAGGTTCTGTGTTATAATCGCACAAGAATATAGACACGGTTTCTGAGAAATCATATTTCCATTTAACAGGCATTTAAAAAGAAAAAAAGGAAATGAAAAATCGTTCACATGTTCTGTGCTTTGTCCTTTTTATTTGGAATCTGTCCCTGAGAAGTTTGGCACAACTTTAATAACTGTGTCACATGCTTTCTTGCCACATTAAACAGAAATTCAGGCATTCTCATATTTGCTATTATCTCAGGAGTGCCTCGCTAGGATCAGCGGTTTATCTATTATGAAACACTAATGACAGAAGGTTACAAAAGCCACATTATGTTCTGTTTATGTAATTTCTATTTGAAATCAATTCCCCTTGAATAGCTGTCCTTATCCTACCATAAACAGTAGAAATACAATGTAACCTGTTTTGGTTTTCTTTTTTGATCTGGTTGCTTCAAGTTCAGACCCTGCTCTAAGTTCAGTAAATATTAAGCATCTCTGTATGATAGCCACTGTGTTAAGTGTTTAGGGTATAAAACCTAGTGAAACATAGTAATCCTAGACTATGAGAAGTTGCTGGTTTGATCAATTACTATGACTTTCCTTAACCAGGATTTCTTCATAATGTCTATATAACA